AAAGACCAAAAAGAAATGTCAGGAAACCTACAGAAACCTAGTAGATAATAATTACACAACAAAATAATAGAACACAGTAACATTTTTGTGGGAGTCCAAAAAGGCATGATTATTGTACTGTTGTTTTGCAAGCCACACTTCTTTCTAGGGAAAATGTAGCTGCCTGATAAAACTACTGATGCATAGCTAAAACAAGGCTCAGGAAATGAGATGCAATGTAAGCCGATACAGACTTATAAAAGCTATAATAGAATAAATAATAAAATAAATCCATAGAAATCAGTAGAAAATCTCACAGATCAAATACACAGTGGCTAATATTTGTATTATTATAATATTGTATAGATAGATAGATAGATAGATAGATAGATAGATAGATAGATAGATAGATGATGGCTGGCTGGATGGATGATAGACAGACAGACAGGTAGAGAGAGAGATGATTGTGGAATTTATCCTACCCCATCCCCATGGGCAATACCATCTTCCCAAAAGAACATTTCTCAACATCTGTTAAGCAAGTAAAGAATATTTGAAACAATTATTATATGAAAAACTTCTAAGAAAAATGCCCAGTAAGAACAGCTCTAGAAGAAGATAGGTAGGATGACCAACCCCTCCTCCAATTTATTTAGCCATTCAGTAGCTATGGCTGAGTTGAAAGAATAAAAACTATTGCTGGAAAATGAGAAAAAGAATGAACATTCTTTTGAGAGGGCAGAACATGTAATAGAAAGTATAAGATTCTTATGGTCCTGTAAATCAGTAGAAAAAAAGACTACACTATTATTATGTGGGGGCAAGGGTGGTCACATTGATAAAGTGAGTACTTCAGTATTTTGATGTCACACTCAATTGTTATGTGCACTAAAATTTTACATAAATATATGAAAAGGGTACAAAATAGTTTTTCATGGCACTGCAAACCTTTTGTTGGAATGGTAGACCTTTCTTAGAAATCTTGATTACCTCAAGAGTGTTTCAGCTCTACAAGTTCTTAATGGTTCCGGTCAACCTCATTTCTTACTTGTTGCCATTCTGGACTGAACCCTTTTCTTGCTCATATTTTACAAATCATGCTTAAACACATGTCTTAACATGATGCACAGTTGAAAACAGGGTGGGATTCAAAAATTTTAGTCACCGGTTCTTTTCCCAGTTGCTGGGTGGGAGTGGCAATGGTGGGTGTGGCCTACTCAGCATCCTGCACCATGGTGTGTGTGTGGGGGTGTTTTTGCCCTCCCCAGGCTCCAGAGGCTTTCCTCGAGCCACTGGAAGGGCAAAAACAGCCTTCCCCGGGCTCCGGAAGCTGGAAATGGGCCTGTTTTTGGACTTCCGGTACTTCTGGTAGGCCTCTTTTACACTCTCTCCGGGCTCTAGAGGCTTTCCGTAAGCCTCTGGGAGGGCGAAAATGGCCTTTCCCGGCATCTGGAAGCCCTCCAAAGCCCAGGAATGGGCCTGTTTCTGGACTTCCGGTAGGCCCATATTTTTTGCACTCCTAGAGCCTCCATGCAGACCCTGCACTTACCTGGCATCCAAAACGGGACACATGGAGACTTCTGGAAGGGGAGGGGAGGGCTGGGCAAGGTCAGCCAGTCCTTGCAACTACTGGTTCAGTGAACCAGATTAAAATTAACATCCAGTTCACCTGAACTGGTCCTAACCAGTTGAATCCCACCCCTGGTTGAAAAGCTATGCAGCAACGACATCAAAAATGATGTTACACTGAAGAAATGAGGAAACCATAAAACAATGTCTCCAAGCTAATTCTTTCATGACTATAAATGTATAATTCAAGTTAAACTTAAGGAGTTGATTTCTTGACTCAAAAGGCTGACACATCCTCTAATTCAGAATAAGATTCTGTGTTACAGCATGGGTATGCCATAACTGTGAGACAGGGTAATGACAATGCAAATGAACATTGTAGTTTGAGGAATTTAATGACACATTTTGGTTTCCTATATTAAAAGGGTCTAAATTTTACAGTCCATTTTGAGCTAACCTGCTTGTTTTTCTCTCTTATTTGCCGAATACTGGGGTGGGGTGGGTGGGTGGGATCTTTACATAACTCCAAAGCTCTTGTTTTCTTTGTAAGTCTCAGATTTTCAGTTTCCATCTCAGAGTCTAATAGCCACTATTAGACTCTATTAGAAAGATTTGAAAAATTCATTTGACTATGCTATACACAAATCTGAAAACAATGTTCATGAATTAGAAATTAATATCGACACAAATTAGCCTTTATTCAATAAGGCAGAGCAAAGTAATAACTGCAAAATATAATGTGGAAGAGAAATATCAAGGTAAGAGAACAAGAAGGAAACATGCAATACAGGAATATAAATATAGAAGAAAATGTCATATTACTTTAACTGAAAGCCCCTCATCCTCAAGGCTCCAGCTGGTCCAGAATACGGCCGCGCGGGTGGTTATGGGAGTGACGTGGCGCTCCCATGTGACTCCCCTCCTGTGCGAGCTGCACTGGCTCCCGGTGGTCTTCCGGGTGCGCTTCAAGGTTTTGGTTACCACCTTTAGAGCGCTCCATGGCATCGGACCGGGGTATTTACGAGACCGCCTTCTGCTACCAATAGCCTCTCACCGACCAGTACGCTCCCATAGAGAGGGGCTCCTCAGGGTGCCATCGGCCAAACAGTGTCAACTGGCAGCCCCCAGGGGGAGAGCCTTCTCTGTGGGGGCACCTACCATCTGGAACGAGCTCCCCCCAGAGATACGGAGGATCCCGGACCTGCGCATGTTTCGCCGTGCTCTCAAAACTTTTCTATTTCAGCAGGCTGGCCTGGCCTAACTCTCCTCTTTTAAATTTTTAATTCGTGATTTTATAAATTGGGTGTTTTAATCTGTGTTTCGGCCAAAATATTTAATAATTTTAAGGGATTTTTAATATTTGTATTATCTGTATTTTATCTTGGCTGTTCACCGCCCTGAGTCCTTTGGGAGTAGGGCGGTATAGAAATTTGATAAATAAATAAATAAATAAATAAATAAATAAATAAATAAATAAATAAATTACTGATATTATCTAGGTGATTCCAATATGCGTATGCCACATTCCCAAAATGTTATTATATTAAGCCTCAAAGTATTTGTCCTATCTTTATTTAAATTCTTATGTACATGTACCTGAAATAAATTTTAAAATGTTTTGGACAGATGGTGGGATAGATAACACAAAATCTGGATAAGCCTTTTATACCATATTAGCACCTGGGATGAAACAGTTCTCAAGCAAATTTTAATAAAATGTCATTTGGAGTACTTCTCTTTATACTCGTTTCTTCAAGTATTAGAAAATGGAGCATATCTTATCTCTTCCAATTGACATTATATTGTATGTTACTGTAAGCTTATATGAAGGTCTATTATGATTATGATATTGACTTCTTGCTTTTTCATATTGCTGTGGTTACAAAAGAGTTGTGGAAGATAGTATCAGCTTACCCATCTTGCCCATCATGCCAAGTGTCTGGTTTTGCCAAAGCACTTCTAAAGGAAAAGCTAAAATGAGCGAGAACCTGTTTGGTGTAGTGCTTAAGGCACCACATTAGAAACTATGACAAAGTGACATCTAGTTCTGCTATAGGAACAAAGCCAGATGGGTGACTTGGGCCAATCACTCACTTTCACAGTCCTAGGAAGGAGAAACTGGCAAACCCTTTCTGAAAAACCTTGGCAAGAAAATGAAGTGATTTTTTCCAGGTGCTTGGAAGAAATTAAGACTGGCATTATGAAACTAAGTAGCAAAGTATCAATTACACCTGTTTTGCACAATTGTACTACATCCTGATACTCACTTCCCAAAAAATCAAAAGGCTGCCAATCAACTACATTTAAAGTGTGTTAACAACAACTAGGGATGCAAAATGTTTTCTGAGTAACTTCTTGAGTTCTACCATTCTTCTGGATTTAAAGGTCGGATGTGCCTTCATCCCAACTATGTTTTCCTTTTTAACTTACTCCTGTATTCAGAAACTTAAAAGAATAGTCAGGAAATGAAAAATTGTGATGACCAGAATAGAAGCAATATTAAAATATTTTGTTTTCAGAATCTCCACAGTTTAGACAGAACATATTTAATATTCCTATTCCTCATGCTATAAATGATTGGATTAAACAGAGGTGGAAGAAGAGAACATGGAATAATCAACCCAAAATCCAAGTAAGATGTGGTATCAGAAGGAGATCTCAGATAGCCAAAGCTTCCAGTTAATACTAGCATAGATAGTACAATGAGGTGGGGAAGACAAGTGGATAAAGCTTTTTGTTTTCTTTTATCAGAATGGTTTTTTAAAACTGCCTTGAAGATCATAGCATAAGATGAGGTATAACATAAGCCCATGGAGAGCTATAGAACAGAATAAAGTAAGGGTTGGAAGTGACCTTGGAGGTCTTCTAGTCCAACCCCTTGCTTAGGCAGGAAACCCTACACCACTTCAGACAAATGGTTATCCAACATCTTCTTAAAAACTTCCACTGTTGTAGTATTCACAACTTCTGGAGGCAAGTTGTCACACTGATTAATTGTTCTAACTGTCAGGAAATTTCTCCTTAGTTCTAAGTTGCTACTCTCCTTGATTAGTTTCCACCCATTGCTTCTTGTCCTACCTTCAGGTGCTTTGGAGAATAGCTAGACTCCCTCTTCTTTGTGGCAGCCCCTGAGATATTGGAACACTGCCATAATAGCTATCACAATATATAGCTATAATAGAATATATATATAATATATATATATATATATATATATATATATATATATATATATATATATATATATATATATATATTATATATATATATATATATATATATATATATATATATATATATATGTTTATATATATATATATATATATGTTTATATATATATATATATATATATATATATATATATATATATATATATATATATATTTATATATATGTTTATATGTGTTATATGTTTATATTATAATATATAAATATATTAAAATATTTTATTTTCAGAATCTCCACAGTTTAGATAGAACATATTTAATATTCCTATTTCTCATGCTATAAATGATTGGATTGAACAGAGGTGGAAGAAGAGAATACAGAACAGTCAACCCAAAATCCAAGTAAGATGGGGTATTAGAGGGAGATCTCAGATAGCCAAAGCTTCCAGTTAATAATAACATAGATACTACAATAAGGTGGGGGAGACAAGTGGATAAAGCTTTTTGTCTTCCTTTTTCAGAAGGGATTTTTAAAACTGCCTTGAAGATCATAGCATAAGACACAAAAATGTAAGTAAAACAACCTAGTCCAGCAATGATACTGGCCACAAGAATTCCAACCTCAAGTAGATTGAAAGAGCAGGATAATTTAAGTAACTGTGGAATTTCACAGAAAAATTGGTTGACAATATTAGAACAAAAAAGGATGGAAAAAGTGCTACTGGCATGCAATATTCCATACAGAAGACCTGCAAACCACACTACAATAGTTATTGCAGTGCAGGCTTTCCAATTCATCACCATCTCATAGTGCAGTGGATGGCAAATAGCAACATACCGATCATATGCCATGACTGTCAGGAGGGAAAAATCAGAAGCTTCAAAGGAGGCAAAGATCAAAACTTGTGCAAAGCAACCAAAGTAAGAGATGTGTGTGGTGTCCATGAGAGAATTTATCATGGATTTAGGGAGAATCACTGAAACAATGCCCAAGTCCTGCAGAGCCAAATTCATGAGAAAGAAGTACATTGGACTGTGCAGTTGATGATCATAAGCTACAGCACAGATGATGAGAAGATTTGTTGCTACAGTTGCCAGATATAGCAGGAAGAATAAGAAAAAATGTAAAAGCTGTATATGTCGACTTTTTGAGAATTCCAGCAGCAAAAAGTAAGAAATGGTTTGATTATTCATGTTTCATAGGACAAAGCTCCAGGGCATAACTGTAAGGAAACAGAAAAGGGAGATGCAGTTAGATAAAATCTGAGAAGTGGCATTTTGATATGTGGTGAGAATAGTAAACAAAATTAAGTGTAAAGCATGAACAGAATGAAAAGAGAAACAGGCAGTGGAAAGAAGAAACGTAGGATGGCCACATTAGAGTAGAAAAGTTCTCCCTTAATTTCTGTCCATTGTAATCCACACGTTTTAAACAACCAAGCTTACATTTTCTTTTCTTTCCTACTCCCAGTTAGGTTATTTCATGTCCTGATTAAAAGGATTAAGAAATCCTTACGATTAGGAAAACCATAGTGGAGTCTACTTTCAGCCATACAAGATTACTGAGAACATTTGGATCAGTTACAATCTCTTGCAACTCATATAGGATTGCAGATGAACTTGCTATATGTGGTGTTTGTGCATCTAGAAGAAAAACAATGTAAATCTAGCAAATAAATATAACAGTAAGTTGCTGTATCTTTTACTTGGAAATCTTGAGAGTAGATCTTGCCCCCTGGTGCAATGTGTGTGTGTGTGTGTGTGTGTGTTTTATATGACAAACAGATGGAGTTGTTCTTCTCAATTGCCTTTGCGTCTACTTGACAAAAGAAAAAGAAGTAAATAGTATAATAAGCTCTAAATGTAATACATAAATACTAGAATCCTAAACATGCATTTAATAACATATAATTAAACAGAAGAAAAACAAAACTTTCACTTGACATTCACTACGTAATATTATACATTATAGATACAATGGGAAATATTTTTAAAATAAAAATCAGATATAGACAAAATGAATAAATAAATAAATCCCCTTTCTCAACAATCAGAGGAAAGTCATACCTCAATTTGAAAAAGCAGTTTCCCTTCAAGTACAAACCTCTATTCCCTCCAGGAGAGTTTGGCCACAAATTGAGATACAGTCTATTACAACTATGACACCTCAGTATTTCTTTCAGCAATGTGAACCCACATTTTCAATAATAATACTTAAATTATCATTTCTTTTATTTACATCCAGAGAGATTTGAAATTATTTTACTGATGCTAATTTTCCTACAATTGATCTAATTTTCAGGTAGTGAGACAGCTATCTTCAGTTAAAAGGATCTTCTTCTGAATGTTTATTATCTGTCATTTTTCCTCAAGAGTCTTAAAGACCAAAATAAAACTGACTTGTATGCTTCTTAAGATAATTAGCAAATAAAAATGACTTCTATGTGCTAATTAACATAATTAGCTATCTGTATAGCTATCTCCAAAGCTCCAGTACCAGTTATCTCATAACATAAAGATATCTCAGAATGATATTAATACAACTGGGGTTGCAGTGATTCCAGCAATCCAAACTGAGAGCTGAAACATGAATCAGGTGAAAAGATCTCCCTGAACCATATTTCATCACTTGGGATTTGTGTGGGGATCACCATTCCACTGCTGCACATTTTCGCCAATGATCCTTCCTGTGTGCCTGCTCTCCTGGGCCATCAGCCCCGAGGCATGCCTCTCATTTTGACTTCCCAGCCATATGATAGATGACGTCAGGGTCATGCACTGAAGCAGTTTATCACCTTTTATCACTTTAAGGAAAGATGGAGGAACAACTGAAGCAGCTTGTGATGGATTGGGAAGGAAGAGGGAGGATACAGTTTAATTGGATAATTGAGTGATTGCACTGGGGTGGAGCTGTATGCTGATTAAAAGGTGATGGGGAGCATGGAGCGTCAGCTCCAACAAAGATTCCTTTCTCTAACACTTTAAGGTGGTCAGCTAGTACTGATATCAGGATAAACAAACTTAGTTACTGCTTTTGTGTGCTGAGGTTTATTTTTCCAGTCTTTATGGAACCTGACAGAGAGTTTATATAGATACATGTTTTAAAAATCAGTGTGCATATCCTGTTTTGGTTTTTTTGCAATAAATTGTTCCTTGCAATAAGGTAATGTTCTTTCCTGTAGTCTCTACCACTTCCCCAGGAAAACCCATTAAACACATATAGCAAAGCATCAAGAAACAGATTTCGTCCTTTTTCATATTTCAGTATTTTTTACTCAAGTAAAAAACATTTGCAAAGATTACAAAGTAATCCTAAAAATTTTGAGGGACATACAGAGTAAGATAAAAGGATAATAAGATCCCTAGAAACAGATTTTAGAATGGCTGACTCTTTCCCTGTAGCTGACAGTTCTGAAACTTTGACTGAGGTGAATGGAAAAACAGCAAGAAAATGAAGAAAAACTAAACATCCCAGTAGAAGGAAAGGGCATGTATTGGGAGGTACAATGTATATAATGTTGGAAGAATAATATTTGTTCATTCCTTCCATCCAGGATGATGAGATCAGCCAATGAACGAAATGAGGTGAGAAAGTGAGCTGCTGGGAAAGGAGGTTTTATTTCAGAAGCCAGGAACTGCAGTGACAATAGAGTTGGGTTCTGGATCAGCAGGATGATTGGAAGATCCATAGAAATCAATAAGAAAAATCACAGAAGAAACACAGCAAATAAAATTTCGAAGGACAGCTGCAGAGATACATGTTTTAGAAAATCAGTGTATGCATCTTCAGTTTTATTGTTAATTTTCATTTTCAGCAATACAGTATTCCCTGCAATAAAGTAACAAGGAGAGATATTTTTTTCCTCTGTGTTCTCTGCCACTTGTCCAGAAGAACCCATTACAATCCCTACGGCCAAGAAAGTGATTTCATCTTTCTCCATCTTTCAGTGTTTTTATTCATTTTTTTTTAAAAAGCACGATTTGCAAGGATTAAAAAGTAGACCAAAATGTTTTAAGGAGCATAGAGAGTAAAATACAAGGATAAGAAGATACCTAGACGCAGATTGTAGGATAGTTGACTCTTTTTCTGTATCTAACAATTCTGCAGCTTTGACTGGGATAAATGGAAAAATTCCTAGAAAATGAAGAAAAACTGAACATACCAGTAGGAGGGGTGGGGATGTATTGGGAAACACAAGATGCATACACTATGCTAATCTAGGCGAGAGACTGACTGAGTCAGGGAGAGTAGTCGAATGGGCAATTAGTCTGGAATCCCTATGTTGGTATAAGAAGGCAAAGTCTGATATTCCCCCCACCCTTGAATGCTGTTGGACTTTATCTACTCTCAGCCAGGTGCCAACCCTCAATCTGAGAAGATTCATTTGTATAGGCTTGACCAATAAAACAGCTAATTGACATTTTCATGTTTGGGTATGGTTATTATTCCTGATAGCTAAGCACATAGAAACAAAAACAGCAGAGTCAATAGGCAAGAGTGATCACATTGATAACATCAGTGCAGCAGTTGTCAGGTTTCGTTGCTATCTTAAATAAACTTCATTCTCAAACGCAAGGTCTCTAATGAATCTTTTTTTTATTTAAGAATAGGAGAACGACATCCCTGAACTCTTTGTGCAGCCAAAACTGCCCCTCCTTCCAAAACCCTCCCTTTCCATTCTTCAACCCCAATGTCTCATTGGCCATCGTGCAGATCCATCTCTTCGTCCCAAGCACTTTCTTTTCACAGGAATTTCCCCCCTCCCTCTGTCACCCAGGTAACGCTATCTACTAAAGAGCAGGGAACTAGGTAAAAGTTCATCTCAGCATTAAAGCAAAGGTTCTCCCTTCTTTCATTCATGTCAGCGCTGGAGGAGAACATAATTTGGAACGCTGACAGCAGTATTATGAGGCAAGCACCATCCCTGCTACATAATTTGTGGATAGACAGTATCACCACTAGATGGATTTGTAACTGGCTGACAAACCATACTCAATGTGTGGTCCCCAACGGAGCTACAAATACATGGAGAGAAGTAAGAAGTGGAGTATTCCAGGGTTCAATTTTAGGCCTAGTACTCTCAATATTTTCATAAATGATGTAGATTAAAAAATAGAAGGGGAACTCATCAAATTTGCAGAGGATACCAAGCTGGCAGGAATAGCCAATACCCCAGTAGATAGCCTCAAAATCCAAAAGGATCTTGACAGACTTGAACACTAAGCCCTATCTAACAAAATGAAATCCATTATAGATAACAGTAAGGTTCTACACTTAGGCAAGAAAAGCCAACTGTACAGATATAGGCTAGGTCAAACCTGGGTCCCTTGGGTCTCTTCCAACTAGCTCATTCTATGAAATTCTATATACATTAAAATGTCCCATTTATACCTGAAAGGGTTAGTAGACAGCCTTTGATGGCTCAGCAAGTCTCCTTTTATTGGAGGGGTATATCTGGTTTCCTGGAACTCTTAATGACCTCAGGAAGGTTTAGTTCTCCAGTTCTTATTGGCTCTGGGCAACCTCATTTCATCCTTGCTGGTATTTTATCTTCTTATTTTACAAGCCATGCTTAAACACAGCATGGCTTTTAATATTCTAAAAGTATAATTCAGGTACACTTGAGGAATTGGCTTCTTGACTGGTTTATCTCAAAAAGCAGAAAGTTCCACAAATTCAGAATAAGATTTTATGTTACTACACAGTTGATGTATGATGGGAGACTTCAATGGAATAGTAGATGAGAAAAAGGACTATAATACACAAAAGACAACAAAACAAAATAGGAAAACTTTGCCGAAATCTTTTTTTAAGATGATAGAGGAAATAAATTTAAAAGATATATGGAGAGAAAGAAATGCAAAAAATAGACAATATACTTTTTATTCCAATAGACATTTATCATGGTCCAGAATAGATATGATATGGTTGACAATGGATTTGACCTCGAACATAGAAGAAATAGCCATAGAGGCTAATACTTGGGCAGATCATAATTCAATGATGATGAGCTGGAAAGGACAAAGGAGAAGGTCTAGATGGACTTTAAACACTACAATATTAAAAGAAAAGGATTTGCTACAGAACATGGAGAAAGAATTACCTTTTTTTCCCAAAGAAAATAGAAAAGAGGATACATCACTGCAGAACCAATGGAATACCATGAAAGCTTACACCAGAGGCCTGATTATTG